CAGACCGGCAACGTGCCATAAGCTCTCTCGCAAAACTCGATATCGATGTTATTGTTGGCGATTGGCTATCAGAATGTACCATGACTATTCATGGTGCGCAGAAGATTGATAACGAGAACCTGCGGGTTGAGGGCAAGCTCTTGGAAGAACCAACTGGCCTCTTCGACCCTACCTTTATTGAGAACCTGTCGCCAGCATTGCCAGACATCGCCCGTAAGGGGATCAAAGTTGCGGTCAACGCAGGTGCTTGCGATACGCAGCTCCTTGCCAGGAATGTTGAGACTGAGGTCAAGAGACAAGGTCTGGATCTCAAAGTTGCGTATGTTGAGGGCGACGAGGTCACGGAAACGGTGAACAGGTTGATTAAACAGGGGGAAAGGTTTACTAGTCTTATGACGGGCGAAGATCTCAAGGACTGGGGATATGCGCCTATTTATGCGCAGTGTTATCTTGGCGGAGCTGGAATTGCGGCAGCTCTAAGTAACGGCGCCGACATTGTGGTATGTGGACGAGTAGCAGATGCCGCTCCTTCAGTGGGTGGTAAGCACACCTAATATTCTGTCAAGATGGATTGATTCTAACAAATATGTAGCGGGTATGTGGTGGCACGGCTGGGACCGCGAGAACGACTGGGACCAGATTGCTGGAAGTCTTATCTGCGGTCACCTCATCGAATGTGCGGCATATGTTTGTGGTGGATACTTCTCGGGCTTTAAAAAGCTAATGAAAGGATGCCACAATCTGGGGTTCCCTATCGCTGAGCTATATGCGGACGGTACCTGCGTCATCAATAAGGAACCCGACACTGGTGGAGAGGCAAGCAATATTCCAAGAATATCTGTGTGCATGATTCTGACCGACCCACTAGGTTTCTATCGGAACAGTTGCCTCACAGCTTCTCTACGAAATCCAAGGCCCTCTTTACTACGGCTCAGACGTCACCGCTTGTCTCGAAGATATTGAAATGATACAGGAGGGCGATAATCGTGTTCGTGTTACTGGTGTCAAGGGCCTCCCTCCACCTCTCACAACCAAAGTTGGAATGACTGCATTCGGCGGCTATCAAGCAGAATTTCACGTCTATATCTGCGGCATAGATCTTGAGGCCAAAGCTGAATGGATTGAGCGGCAAATTCGGTATTCGGCTGGGGAAGCCGTCAAGGAACTGTCCTGCTTTAAGTTTTCTCTGAACGGGTATTGTCCTGATAACCCAAGAAATCAAGATGTGGCTACGTGTGACCTTCGTATCTTCGTGCAGACTAAGAACAAAAAGTTGGTCGACAAATCCACTCTCGACGTTCCCGGATTCAACCGATGGTGTATGGACAATGGCCTGCAAGGTTGCCCTGGATGGACGCTCGGAAATGATCAACGCCAGTCCGAGGGCAAAGTCTACTATGAGTATTATGTTTCTCTTCTCCCACAATACGAGGTGCAACACCGTGTTGTCCTCCCATGGCTTGGTAACAAAACTATCAATGTCCGACCACCTAGAGAATTGAAGGAGTATCCACGCGATCAGCCCAGTTATGAGACCAAGGATCCAGTCGATTTAAGATGTTTTGGGCCAACTACCAGAGGTCCCATGGGTTGGGTAGTTGGCGGTAGGTCCGGCGATAAGGCGTCAGATGCAAACGTGGGTTTTTACGTTCGCTATGAAGATGAATGGGATTGGTTACGATCCCTACTCACCATTGGAAAGGTCAAGGACTTGCTCGATGAAGAATATGTGGACGGCAAAATTGAACGCTTCGAGATTCCCGGGATCAAGGCCGTCCACTTTCTCTTGCGGGATCATCTAGATCGTGGCTTCAACTCTACAAGTACATATGACACTCTTGGTAAAAATGTTTGCGAATATCTGCGAGCTAAATGGGTGGATATTCCAAACAAATTCCTGGCAAGGGGAAGATTTTAAGCCCAATTTCCAACATTATGAGTAGCACTTGATGACTTCACGATATATCAGAGTGTCCAAGAACTTTCCAATCCTGTAGTTCTTAATTTGTAGGGCGGTGCTCTGTCTCGCATGACCCCCCCGCTTAACCTTTTCCCAGTGCAAGGTCTAAACCCGGGGCCCCGCATCATTCACTCTCCTAGCGTCGTTGACCTGTATGCGCACTAGCGGATGCCTATCCGACCATAACCTAAAATGAACAGCATCAATTGCCTCTTCATGATGCGAGCACTCTAGCCTATGCTCACTGCTCTTTATAAACATCCAGTCCAGTCAGAATGAATTCGACCACGGAAACCGAATCTTCTGCACGGCGGAGACGCCGTGCCTCTATGGCTTGCTTGAACTGTCGCAAAAGTCGCATTAGAGTAGGTGCACAGTGTATGAACAGTGATTCACTAGCTAATAGATTCTACAGTGCAAGATTGATCAAGGTCAGAACACATGCAGTCAATGTCGGCAAGCTGGTATAGAGTGTGCTTTTGACTCCCGGGATGGGCGAAAAAAGTCAGTACAGATGCTTTAAGTTGACACTTGGTCTAAAATCAGAACAGCCGTGCCAACTCAAAGGCCGTGGCGAACGAACTCAGCAAACGGATTCAGCACCTTGAATCGCTGTTGAAAGAGAGTGGACAGGGCCATCCCATCCTCGACCCTGTCCTTGGGCCTGACACCCAACAAGACTCACCAACCGATGACGCTGCGACGGCCGACCTTCTTCATCCAATGGGAACAGACTCGGAGACGCAATCAACGCCTTTCTTTGACGAGGACCCACCTCCATATCCAGAGAGCTTTCAGCAACACACCTTAACTCAACCTGCCGGAGCCACAGGCCAAACTCGAGCGATACTTGGAAGGCTCATGCCCAGGCCAGTGAAATTTGATATGGCATCTGGGCGAGTCCGTTTCTTTGGACCGACGACAAACATGCACATCCTATCACGATCTACTGTAGACTCATCCAAGACTCCGGAAACATTTTGGCCTATATCAACTTTAGTCCGTGATCTTACTCCTGAAACCCATGACTATCTAATTGATTTGTTCTTTGACTGTCACAATTCTGCGGTTCACATTGTCCACAAGTGGGCTTTCTTCGACGACTTGAAAGTAGGGGGTACACAATTCTATTCAAATTTTCTGCACATGTGCATACTCGCTGAAGGGTATCGATATGCAGACAAAAACCGACTCGATATAAAGAAACTAGGGTGTTCCGGTGCTGATTCGTCGACATTTCACACCAAAGCAAAGAAGATGGCCGAATTAGAGCTTGTGAAGCCTGGCGGCGTTCCTTCATTACAAGCGTTCTTTTTACTTGGTGATCTCGAAGTTGGTATCGGGCGGGACGATACCGGCTGGATGTTCGCTGGAATGGCATTCAGACTTTTATTCGATGTCGGATTGCATGTGGACCCTTGTGAACTGAGATTGACCGACCGAGAGGTGAATATCTTCAGGTGCAATTCTTGTCATTAATGCTAAATTATCACAGGTCCAGATTCGGCATATGGTTCTATGGGCTTGCATAATGAATGACGTGTCAGTAGTTTACACTGTAGCTACGTTGAATTACAACTAATGTAAATTATAGTTACTGGGCTGTATACCTCGGCCGTCCAACCATGTTGAAACCCAATGACATTGCCCCCGCCTGTCTGAACAAGGATTTCGATCGTCTCATTCAATCACAAATGCGTACGTACGCCTACGAAAAGACAATCGAGACACGAGTGTACGAGGCTCTGCTACAGTTGATGGACCTGCTCGAACCTCTTTGCGAAACCAGAGACTTGCGCAAGAACCTTAAACCAGCGGATGCTTACTTCAAAATCGCGACCTTGGACCGTAGGCTCAACAACTGGTACAGCGATTTGCCTGAACGATTACGATGGACTGACGACAACATCAAGATCGCACCTGCAACCTTCTACTTACTTCAGTAAGAAAACACTTTTCTCAGATAAAGCACGACGATCAATATTGTCATTCTGACTCTTATAGTACACAATACCACACGGCACTCATCCTTCTCCATCGTACATTTCCGAGTCAGCCACCACAACCATCAAATACCCGCTACTCAGGGACCACTCATTTCAGCACTCTATCCCGATCCGTATGCGTTTCAAATGCCGTCCAAGTCGCTGAGATCGTCGGTTTGTACCGCAGACGATTCAAAATTCAACAGATTTTCGTGACTGGGCTGCAACACGTAGGAACTGCAGCAACAGCACTCATGGCAGAGATAAGTATACTTCAAACCGCAGCAGATCACGAGATCAACGAAAGAGCAAGGCTACTTGAGAATCTGAAAGACCTCAAGGAGAGTATGGAGGATATGAGTGACATGTACCAACCCGCAACCCTCATGGCAACCGTGGTAGGGCACTTCATTCGCGATTCGGGGGATGTAGCCTCAAGTCTACCCCCCGATCTTCCCACCGCAGGTACCTCCAAACAACCCATCATTATCCCTCCCATCAGCCAAGGTACCCGCGCCAGCACTCTTGCCCCGCCCGATATCAGCATCGCGGGCCTATCCTCCCTGGCCAATCTACTTTCCTTTCCCTCGGCCTCCGCGAGCGCGAATCCGTCCGCCATTCCTACTCGCGGAACCACCCCAATTCCAGTCCACAGTCTTCTCCAGGATCCTGCCTCGACTAGTTTTGAGTCTTTGTCCACGCTTGGTCTCCCATTTCTGCCCAGCTCTTGGTTTGAAGAGATGAACTGGGAACAGGACACAGAATTTTTAAATTTAATGGGTTTGAAGGATTTACAAAATGCAGGGGTCGCTGGATTAGGTGGCTTATCAAATGGTTCGGGGTTTGATGTAGATGCGTTGGGTGGTTTAGGGGAAGGTTCATAAAAGAAGCGTTGGTGGTGGAGATTTCATCTATGGTCAATACTCGTGTTGTGATAAAATGAACATGAGGCTAAACAACAGTGGAGGACCAAAGTCATCCCAAAACTAAGAAAACCAATGATAACCCCGAACAAAGCCAAGCCAAAAAATGAATAAAAAAGAAATAAAAAAAGAAGGGCTGAATGCGGATCGAACGCATGACCTGCAGATATTTGCAATTCATAGGACTGCAATCTGCCGCTACTACCACTGAGCTACCAGCCCCAGAGTCATGTGAGATAGAGTTTACAACTTTAATTAATTATATATCCTGCGATATTCTTTGTGTGAAGCGCTTTACTGAGGTCATCCTCATACGCAGTGGGAGAAGCTAGTGAAGAATTTGCAGTGTGGAGACTAGAATGTGGGGTTGCTGTTGGCTGGGCGGTGAGTCAAATTCTTGGACGCGTTCTGGAATGTAAGAATTCGTGTTACAGGACACATTGACATTTTCCCAACTGGGGCTCTGACGCTCTGACCCCTGTTTAGCTCGTCGGAAATAACATCAGGTCCGTGGAGAGACATTTGCTACTTGTGATTACATTATCCAAGTGCGCGCTAACTACATTACACCACTGGCATAGCCGCTTCATCATATTATTCGTAGAAAAGTTCGCTTGACAAAACTACAAGAAAAGAGAATCAAAGCCTCAGAATGAATTCCCTCGCATCCTTCTTTGGTCGTTTTTGCGATGCGCAAAATTCATAACTCGATAGTTAAGCTCTACACCTTCAGCTGCACACTCTACCGATTTTGAGTCAAGCCACAAGATTAAGTCTCCCCACATGCGCGGACCACGATATAGGTCCGCATTGACACACTTAAAGCATATGCGCTTGATCCCGGGGATTTTGAATACATCTTCAACGTGGCAGTTGTTGAGGAATATGGAGAATGGAAGCAGGCTCGTTGGCAGCGTTGAAGTAATAGCACTGTTATTGATCAGTCGATATGCGCTTATCTCGACCGTAAGATCTACTACTCGAGGTAGTAGCGTGAGAAGATCGCGTGGGAAGAGCTTTAAGCTCGGAGGACGATGAAACGGTTGAATGAATTGGAATAGCTGCGAATGTGTCTCGGCGGTCTGGAGCATGGCGATAAGATCCTCTGCCTTTCTCGATCTTCCGGTGATCGAGAATTTCTCGATGTACTCGAACATCACGGCGCGGACGTAGTAAAATCCTCTACCGCCGGGAATGCGCTGCAGCATTTTGATGAAGTGGATGATACTATCTGAATTCTTGAGGACAAAGGTCACGTTTCTCATCGTCATAGGCACGGCTTCTGCGTAGGTTCGAATGCTAGCGTATGTGATAGGAGCTAGACATGGTAGAGTGAGTCGATTTCGCGGTCTTTCGACGTCGGATATGATTACTCTGAGCTGATCTTGGGTCCGTGTAACTAAGTCTTTGTAGTCGTCACTTGCGAGCGTGTAGATTTGTTGGCGAAGCTCAAGCGGAAGGTCATAGAATGGAAACGTCGGGTGCGCAGGCTCCATGTAACCATCCATGGATAGCGAGTCGAGATGGTCCGTGAGGTCTTCGATGTCCTCGTCTGAGCTGAAGGCAGAGGTTGCGGGGCGCGAACCTCTCGGCGGGGTTGTGCGTTTGGCACGGCGGAGAAATTTAGGAAGTCGCATGATTAGTGTGAACAGGGTCGAACTGGAATTACACACCCAAGGCTTGTGATAATAATACAAGCTATTTCTGCCGGCGCGTCTCAAGAGTTGTTGAAATGTAAATGAGAGCTGGTGGGCCATGTGGAGTAAGCATAGATCCAGATCTAAGGTAGGCGCAGCAAGATCGAGGGGCTAGCCCAAACTGAGATAGGGTAAACTTTACTCGACCATAACCTGTTTTGTTGACACAAGAAAACTGTATCTCCGGCAACTCAACCTGACCAATGGTCATACTGGATGAATGCAGAAACCTATATGCTATAGCTAATAGAGGCAGTAAGCCGTCATAAAAAACAGAATTACAAATGTGGACAGCTTTGGAGTAAAAGTGAATTGTATTTACTCTTGAACTATCTACTAATCTAATATTCTAAAAGTCAAATGATGAAGATGCAACGCTACAGACTGATGTCCCTATACCCAATGCATGCTGATAGTATCAAAGTCAAACCGCTATCGCTGCCGACGTCGCTGTTGGTGCTGCCGATGTTGTTGTTGTTGTTGTCGTCGAGTTAGAGGAACCCGCACCCCCTCCCTGCGGTCGATCATCCTCGTTGAGTGGAATATTCCCGTCACCACCAGAGGGATTGTTTCCAGGCCCACCGTTATAGTCGTACCACCACTGCCACCACTTGGTGTATGTTTTGGGAGGTCTGGTACCATCTCCGGGGTTTGGGTCGTTTTCGTGTTCATGGCCGTGTGGTGGATGTGGATGTGGCTTTAATCAAGGTGAGTACATGTCAAGTAATGTTGAAGGTGAACTGCCGTGAACTGGGGTTTGTGCTGTGCCAGGACTTGTGCAAGCCGTTTTTTCAATCTCAGAACCCACATCAGGTGGTGTATCTGGGAGATAGGATTTTCTATACATAGAATAGTTAGGTGTGCATCTCAGAAATAGATTGGAAGGAATACATACTGGATGATCATGGGTGTTCAACCACTCCTTCCATTGTGACTCATGAGTCATCATCATATCCTGTCCATCTCGATTGTTGGGCCGAAGCGCAACTATACTCACCGAAACAAAGAGATATACTCACCGTACAACGGGCACAAAGTTTTACAAGCATTCAGAAGCACACATATGAAATAGGACTTACCCTAATGGACCCCTCGTTCACGAAGAGGAGCAACTTGTTCTCACCACCACCCCACTCCGTAGGGTCACCCTCATTGGCTCTCAGTTTGCAATCAATCTCTGGCGATTGTGGAGGGTTCCAGTTGAGGCTGTTTCCGCAACGGCAATCTCTTCCGAACTCAACGGCGAAGAACTTGAATCCAACACACCAAGACTGGCATTGTTCCCAGGATGTGGATGCGTTCTTGATATTTGTTGGCCCGTCGAGGAGGAAGGCCGTCGTCGCAACGTCTCTGTCTGTTCGGCAGCCCAAGAAGTCGGCCCCCGTAACACTATCGTTGTTCGGATACTATAGAGCATGTTAGTGCGCTGCTCAAGGCAGACTAGACAAATGTGCTCTGTGTGCTTGAAAACTTTGTGCCCGTTTTCAGAAAAAAAGAAATACAGAGGAAAAACAAAAGAAAGCTATTGGTTAATGGTGAGAGGGCAATGCCGAAGCATAATGCAATGGTAACAAAAGACAAAAGTTATACGATCCGTGAATCTGACAAGAAAGAAGTTGGATGGATTTTGATCGTGAAAGCAGAGATATTAGGTTTATATTTCTCATGGTAATAAGGGCTGGCTATGCAGATTCTGGAATCGGAATGTAGGGTTGAAGCATTCCATTTTGTTGACATCCACTTTCGTAAATGCCAATAAGAGCCTCTGCAATTTAAATATTATCCCTTTCTATCGGGTTTCCGTTCGCTTTCAATTTTGCGACAGATTTGGACCAGGTAGCCATATACTCCAAATTACTTACGCGCCAAAATGTAGGTTTCATTATGAGGTTCAGGATGCAGGTGTTGCGTATACGCGCGCATGTTGACCAGCAGGAACGGTTCGTTCATTTAGTCTGAGTGACACAAAATGCCAACCAAGGACAGGTGGCGGGCGGCAAGGAGGGAGCTGGGCAATCAGGCATTGACCTCTTCCCGGAATTCATCGGTCCAGACTTAAAGATTGCAAGAGTTGTGTGCAACGAGGAACCTCGCAGTATTTTTTATGCCGTCATTGCCAAGGCCAAGCTATTGCTTGTGAAAGATGCGGCATGAAGTCGAGGTCGAGGCGCTGCACAAAACTGAAGCAACTCAAAAGATTGAAAGGTTGAAGGCAATGTATAGAGGAGAGTGCTGCGTGCTGTCATTAGTCTGATTGCACTGACGGCATAAGGTAGGTAGTATGTTCAGTACTGCGGCGTGGCGCGTATTGTGATCTTTGTATCAGGTCTATGATGCACGATCATACTGTACCCACTCTTAAAATGGTAGACTTGCTTCATCAAAACCGTAGAAATCGCACTTATAACGAAATATTTGCCCTTTGTTATCTTTCTTGCTAGCTGTGGCAATGGCAAGCCTCGGTAAGTCGGAAAGTGCTAGGCCAGCCATTTCGATAGGCCAGGACAAGTTTGTTGTATTTGAGGCCTCGGAATTTTTCTCACGGGATTTAATAGTGATGTTCCAATTCGGAAACGCGAAAAGGTTCGGGAAAGAACATGTTGAGGAAGCATGACATCACCGAGCAAGCTCCGAGATGAACTTCGGATCTCCGCTATCCACCTGGGCATGGTTTCGCTACTCTTTTTCAATTCATATCCGCAACATCCAAGAATATCTCAAACTACTAACTCAGCTGACTATAACCATGGTTGCCTCTATACCGAACGACATCTTTCAATTTTCAACCTATTCAGCTTTGCAAGCCGGTTGCAACCAGGGCCAGCCAAGAACGGCAGATCTCACATCGCATGGCACACACGGAATCGGAACATTCGAGGATGGCCAACTCATGATCCTCGACAAATCTCGTGCGTATGTAGTCAGTCCGGATGGGAAAGTAGAATCCGCTACGCTACAGGCGCGATTGCCTTTCGCCATGGTCACGATATTTCAGCCCATCGCCATTATTCGCGCACAAAGCCTTACTCTGGACACTCTGAACAATCTCCTTTCGTCTCCGGAAAATTCCGGCGGACTTAATACTCTCATGCCTTTCCGGCTAGAGGCGGAATTCGAAAAGATTGGACTTTCCACGGGAGGTCATAGCACTACTGCGAACACGTATGGTTCTTGCAAAGGAGTTATCGTTGGATTCATCATTCCGAACTGGATGGAACATATTAGTGGATCGCGACTGCATTGCCATTTTCTAGGTAATAGTGGCACCCAGAAGGTTGGGGGTCGAGTTGAGCATTTTGAAACCTCCAGGGAAGTTAGTGTAGGGTTTGCAAGATGTGGGCGGTTTCATTTGGGCTTTCCAATGAGTGAAGAATGGGAACAAGTCAAGATCAATTGAATTACATTTCATTATTCACCATGGCCACGCATATAGCCTGAGCCATAGAGTCCTTCACTTTTCTCTACAACCATGATCGCAAGTCGCCACTCCCACTTCGATCAATCCGACCTCACGATTTGTTTACG